CAGCCGATGGCGCTTGCTGCTTCTGGCTGCCGCAGCAGCAGCAGCAGCAGCTGCAGCGAGGGCGACCCGAACGAGCAGCAGCAGCAGCAGCAGCAGCAGCAGCAGCAAGACGCGTACCTCGTCGCAGCTGACATGATCCTCCCGCTGCCGGAAGAGGGGCCCCCAGCCCCCGGGGGGGCCCCCCTAGTGGTTTATTTGGAAGCAGAAGACCAGCTGCTGCAGATGACCCACATCTCATCTTTTGCCCCACAAGACACAGAGGGGGGCCCCCCCCCGGGGGGCCCCCTGGTGTTGGGGGGGCCCCGTTTTGGCTTCGGGCGGGGCTGGTGGCGCCGGGCCAGGGGCCTCTTTGCTGCAGGAGGGGGGCCCCCCAGTGGGGCGGACTTTTTGGTGGGTCTGGACCCTGGGGGCCCCCCGGGAGCCCCCTTTGGGGAGGGTTCTGAAGACTACCTTGTGCAGCCACCGGGGGGGCCCCCGGAGGGGCTTCCCCAGGGCGACGGCGCAGCCAGCCCGCAGCAGCAGCAGCAGCAGCAGCTGCAGCAGCAGCAGTGGCCGCGCCGTGCTTGGAGCTGCTGCGCTGCTGCTGCTGCAGCAGGGGGCCGCAAACTGAAGGAAAGCTGCAGGCAGCTGCTGCTGTCTTCCCCCGTGAGGGAGCCGCAGCACCACCTGCTGGCCCCGCTGCTGCTGTTTGTGGTTTGCTGCAGCTTGGCTGCGCATGCATTGATAGCCCGGGGCCGGTGGGGCCCCGCTGCTGCTGTTGCTGCTGCTGCTGCTGCTGCAGGGGCTGCAGTACAGGTGTTTGTGTCTGTGGAGGTGCTGCGGGAATTCAAAGCAGCACATCCCCACGTCTCTGTAGCTGCTGCTGCTGCAGTAGCAGCAGCTCGCTGGGGCAGCCGTGCCCGGGAATTTGCTGCTCGCTGCTGGCTGCTGTGGAGAGCAGCAGCACGAAAGGCCGGCAGGGGCCTCCGTGCTGCTGCTCGGCTGCTGCAGCAGCAGCAGCGGCAAGCAGCACGGGAAGCAGCCCGGGGGGCTCCAGGGAGCGCGCTGCTGGACCGGGGCCCCTCGGGGGTCTCCGTGGAAATGGAAACAATATCGGGGGGCCCCCCTGCTGCAGCAGAAGGGGGGCCCCCCGGTGCAGCAGGAGGGGGTCCCCCCTTGGCGGCAGAGGTCCCGGCGAGCCCGAACGAGCCGCGCGGGCTGGTGCAGCAGCAGCTGCAGCAGCAGCTGCAGCAGCAGCTGCAGCAGCAGCGCAGCAGCAGCGCAGCAGAAGAGGCCGAGCTGCTGCTGCGGGCGCTGCTGGCAGCACCTTTCGTGGGCCTCGCCACGGGGCTGCTGGCAGGCCTTGTGGGGATTGGGGGGGGCCTCGTGTTCTCTCCAATGCTGCTGCTGCTGCAGCAAGACCCTGTTGTTGCAGTGGGGACTTCATCGGCCTGCGTAGTTTATACTTCTTCAGCCACCAGTCTGCAGTTTTTGCTGCTGGGCCGGCTGCACCTGCTGCCCTGCCTGCTCTTCGGCAGCACAGCAGCAGCAGCAGCAGCAGCAGGCTGCCTCGGTGTCCACGCAGTCCGCAGACTCTGTGCTGGCAGAAGAAGCTTCGTGGCTTTTCTTGTTGCTGCAGCAATTGCTCTCGCCACTTTAATGACGGCCCGCCGCTACTTCCACGGGGGCCCTGTTTGACTGGGGGCCCCCCTCTCCCTGGGGGCCCCCAAAAGAGGGCCCCTCAAGGGTCGCTGGAGGTCCAGGGGGCCCCCCGAGGCCCCCCGGGGTCCCCCCGAGGTCCCCCGGGGGCCCCCCGAGGCCCCCCGGGGGCCCTTGAGGGGCCCTCTCTTGGGTCGCCTGCGGCCTCGCCAGGGGCTCCTAAAGGGGGCCCCGGCCAGGGCCTTTTTTTGGGCGCTTGTCGGGGGCCCCCTTGGGGGGCCCCCTTCGGGGGCCCCTGGGGGGCCCCCAGAGGCCCTTCAGGCCTTGCATGAAGCTGACTGTTTCTATGGGTCTTGTGAAGCCCTTGGGACTCCCAGGCCATTTCCTCTGTCAGCAGCAGCTACAAAATAAGGGGCACTAGGGAGAAAGGGGGGCTGGGCTTCACACAAATGGGGCTTAGGGGCCCCAGGGGGCCCTTACGGGGCCCCAGGGGGCCCCCACGGGGCCCCAGGGGGCCCCCACGGGGCCCCAGGGGGCCCCCACGGGGCCCTAGGGCCCCCAGGGGTCCCGGGGGGCCCCCCATGGCCGTCGGATAGGTTTAAGTAGACTGAGTTGCAGTGCCTAGGTTCACCTCGCTGCAGCAAATGCCGTCCCTACAGCAGCAGCAGCAGCAACAGCAGCAGCAACAGCAACGGCAACGGAAGCTTGTCGGTCTGCTTCTGTTCTGGGAAGGTTTGCTGCAGCAGCTGCCGAGCTGTTGACTGTCTTTAGACTTCTTCCGCCTCCCTCCAGAGGCTGCTGGGGCCCTCTTTGGGGTTGCTGCTGCTGCTGTTGCGTGCTGCTGCTGCTGCTGCGTGCTGCTTCTGCTGCTGCTCCAGTTGCTGCAGTTGCTGAGGGTTTTTATGAAGGCTCTGCGGTGCTCGGTCTGTCCGCGCTGCTGGAACTCTAGGTGACCCGTGTTGCCTCTAGCAGCACTTTTGCGGACTTGTCGTCACTATTATTTTAATTATTGTAATTATTTTAATTTCAGTTGTTATTTTTATTATAATTAAACTGTTAGGAGGCTTTCTTTGGCACCCTTATGTAGATTTCTGTGGGGGCCTCCTGGCCCTCTTAAGCTCAGTCTTGCGAACTCCCAGGCTGGTGAGCTGAGTTAGAAGTCCCAGACTCCGCTGCAAACCCTAAACCCTAAACCCTAAACCCTGATGGGATTTTGTGGTGGGCATTAGGGCGTTTTGAGGCGCTGTAAAGAGGCCTGGACCAGCAGCAGCAACAGCAGCGGCGAGCCT